AAAAAAAAAAAAAAAAAAAAAAATAGTAAATAATAGATCAGAGATTAAAACTGAATTGCATATAACATAATTTTATATTTATAAATCGATGGACAATTGTAGTGAAAGAATTTTGTTTATTATTATATGGGTCAGGTTATATAAATGATTATTTAATGGAATTTTAATTCATGTTTTTCTAGCGTTCTGACATGCACTGAAGCTCGAGTGAAAATTATCAAAGATACTACGTTGTACTACCCATTGACTAAGCTGTGCTTAGATAAAAAAAATCGTAGTTTTGGTGACAGTAGAATGTAATTATTTTACCCTATATTAAATAAAATATGAACATTGTCGTTTTATTATCTTATTAATACTTAGCATATGTTTTTGTTAGATGCTCCAAGAGGTCCATGTTTCAAACTCTGTGGCCGTCTTGGGTGTATAAACAGTTTGATGTTTATGAATTGGCGTCGAACATTACTAAGAAAATTAAAATATTGAGTAAGGCCGAAATATTGAATCATTTGTTAATTACTTGATATACTCCATATATTACATAGTCTAAAATACTTATTGTATTAAATTGTTGATTTTTAAATTAATTAAATTATTGTGCTTAGGTACTGATCAATCTGTAGTGAATTATCTTGTTTGTAAATTACATTGAGGCAGATTGTGTATCAAACTTAAAAAAATGTTTGAACAAATTTACAATTGATGTATTATATTTTATAGATCAAAATGTACGAATCTCAGACGATCCAATTTTCTTGTCTTTCCAAGTGACCAAACTTGGTTTATTCAGTGAAACACAAATAAATGAATTGTTTGGTATYGACTCAACTAACTTGAGACTTCAACTCGAACTAAATTTTTTAAATAATCTTGTAAGACTTCTTAAAAATTAAAATAACTACGATTTGAAGTATAATGATTTATTKTTGTATTATACTAGAATGTGGTAGAAGAATACGTATGTGCTGGTTCTGATTGTGGAGTTCAAGTATGCAATTTGAAAACTATGTTTTCAGTGTCATCTACACAAACACATAAAAGTAATTGCAAATATTGGAATTCAAGTCGTGATATGATAACTATATCTTATCTGGATGATTATGTAAATAAGATTAAATTTGTCAATAAGTCAACTGAATGCTCCTGTTTCCCTGGGTAATTGTTTTACATTTATTATTATTAATTTTTTACCATGATAATTGAATAATGATTTGTTTGCAGGTATAACAGTACTAGCATTATTTGCAAAACTTGTAATAGCCATTTGGGCTGGAGTTTTGTGGTCAATGGTAGTATGTCAGTAATGCCAACCTCATTCTACGGATTATCCATAACTGCCTTAATAAAGTCGTCAGTTAAAATAGATCCGTAAATTATGTAGAYAAATAGTACTTTAAATATGATAAAGAATAATATTCAAGGATGTTTATGAGATTTCAAGAAATAATTTAAACTTTCTTTTTTGTTATTAYGGCTTTTTTATGTAGGAAAAATTAGACAGCTCAACTCTAAAAATTATTATATTTGCTGATACACATTTATATGTTAATTCAAGGATATTAGTTATTAGAATTTAAGCTGAGC